GGAGAATCTTCCAGTGAAAATGCAAAAAAAGTACCGGATACATACGAAATCTATACACACGAAATGCACATGAGATTTATGGAAAACGTACCGACACGGAATTCGTTCTCCCGTATGCATTTCGTATTTAACACATCGCGTAATTCATATAATACGGGAAATACTAGTATTAGTATTAGCAAATACCGTGTGTATTTCGTATTTAGCATTAGCATTAGTATGTGTTCCGTATACATCTCATATCTATCCCATATTTTTTGGCGTATTTCACCGGAAGATTCCGTGCGTTTCCCATAATAATATCAACAACAACAACAACAATAAATAAATTGTGCGTGTCTTACATTCGATTTCTTTATTTCATGTTTATAGAAATTGTGCCTAAATATTTTGGAACTTTAATAAGCGCCAGTATAAATTTGCATCACATATATTTTTAAATTATTTTTACATAATAAATATATAGAAAGAAATTTTTTATTTTGCCCAAACAAATGATCTTCTGATCCATCAATCGCATCATTAATATCACACTTTTTAAATAATTTTACAATCATTTCTTTTGGCATTTCATTCCAAACGTCAAGAATCCACTTACAAATAACATTATGCTCAGGCTTTCTTGAATTTCCACTTCTGCTATAGATGGGTTTACCGAACTTCACTTTTCACAAAGTCTATCTTTGAATAGTTTGTTAATACAAACATCAAACGGTTGAACAACAGCTATGGAATGATTGCTAGATCAGTATTTTCATCTTGTGCAATTTTTTTTGATTGGATCCGTCTTGTGACCTTCAAAGCTATTCATAACAAGCAGCGCTTTTTTTCATAATTCCATTAATTATGGATTTTCTTTTCCACAACTTATCAAACAAAGCTTTCATTCCAACTTCATCTACCATTCTTTTTTCATGCATTAGTACGACAATTTGAGGAGGCAAGATTTTTTGGCATTCATTTACCTTTAAAAACAACAATTGGTGGCAATTTTGTATCATCTGCGAGGATTGTAAGAACACATGTAAAACGATTTTTTTTATTTCCAATTATTTGAACCTGCAAGTTTTGCACCATGTTTATCAATAGTTGGATTTCCAACTATACATAAAGTCGTAATGATTTAATTTCGGGGCCGAGATTTATTTTGGTCATTTTGACTTTGACTCCCAAATGTCGAAAAGGTCGAAATTATGACATATCACATGATTTATTATAATTAATATTTCCAAAATTAATTGTCTCGAGAACAAGTGATTCAAATTTAACGAAATGCGGCTCATTAGAATAGTCTTATAAAGAGGATTCGAATAAAGATGCTTTAATGTTTATATCATCAATAAATGGTGAGTTATTGTAATATATGTGGTAGATCAAAGTATCTTACATTAGACTCACATCATTGAGAGAATTCGAATGGTAGTTGTTTTATCCAAAACAGCCGGATTATTGATCGAGCTATGACAATTTGAAGCTTTGATTAATTTTTCTGTATATTCAGCCAGTCGTATGATGTAATTTCGGCTTTCGATCTTTGAGTTTTGACTTTGACTTCATATATATTTCCAACCATATCAAAATAAACAGGAATTTAGTCCATATTTCCAATTTCTAAAAGTCGATATTCAAATTGTTTTTGATTTTTTATAGAAATTCAGAAATTTGACATCAAGTTGAGCAGGAAGCTTTTGGCCAATTTTTGTTTTACGTCGCATAGCAAAATAATCATGCCTTATAAAAAGCCATAAAACCAACATTGTGAAGCACAAAATCTTTCACTGGAACTTGGATGATTATCAGCAAATTGATTTCTGAAAAGTTCCTTCATATAAGTTTTACGATTTTAGGAGTTATAGCAATTCCATCCTGTCAAAATTCAAAAATCCATGCTTTTAAGTTAGCTTCAGCCTCATCATATTCTTCCTAAATTATTTATTCCTATTGTTTTGACAATGAGAAATCATTGAGTGGTCAATGGTAAAATGGTGCTCAGCCGATTACACATGTGTAACTCGGAAAATGGTCGATTCCCAAAATTTTTATCGGACCCTGATATAAATAATGAAAATAAATTCTCTTTGTGATTTAATAATATTATTTTTTTTTTTTCTAATCGTGCAATGTAATATTTATAATCAATATATACATAACAGTGACAATTGCAGAAGAAAGAAAATATAGGCTATTATTATTATTATTTTTTATTATTTTTTAATGATGGTTATTAATGAAGTCTTTCTTTAGCAGATAAAGGAATTGAGACATTGCCATTTTAAATATAAATATGATATAATCATATAACAATATTCTTATAAATCTGTTTTTAATCATTATAATAATTATTAATAAACAAATATTTTATCTCTTGCATTTTTTAAATACCTATCTTCCATTAATTTTTCTGTATATTCAGCCAGTCGTATGATGTAATTTCGGCTTTCGATCTTTGAGTTTTGACTTTGACTTCATATATATTTCCAACCATATCAAAATAAACAGGAATTTAGTCCATATTTCCAATTTCTAAAAGTCGATATTCAAATTGTTTTTGATTTTTTATAGAAATTCAGAAATTTGACATCAAGTTGAGCAGGAAGCTTTTGGCCAATTTTTGTTTTACGTCGCATAGCAAAATAATCATGCCTTATAAAAAGCCATAAAACCAACATTGTGAAGCACAAAATCTTTCACTGGAACTTGGATGATTATCAGCAAATTGATTTCTGAAAAGTTCCTTCATATAAGTTTTACGATTTTAGGAGTTATAGCAATTCCATCCTGTCAAAATTCAAAAATCCATGCTTTTAAGTTAGCTTCAGCCTCATCATATTCTTCCTAAATTATTTATTCCTATTGTTTTGACAATGAGAAATCATTGAGTGGTCAATGGTAAAATGGTGCTCAGCCGATCTTAAACATGTTGTTTTGCATGTTGCAAAACTTGGAACTTTTCAGCAGTGGAGTATGAAGAACATTTGACTTTTGACATTTCTGTGGGAAAAATGAATTAATTTAACACAGATGATAAAAAATAAGGAAATAAATGTTAAAGTGGTGGTTATATTCCAGCAATACAGTAATAACAATGATCATTGCTATTTTAACTATATAGAAATAACTTTTTTTAACCAATGATCACCAATGATCGCCAGTACAACCTATGTGAAATTAAAATATTATGGAGTGGGGTGAAATTCTGATTGGCTAATTGGAATTTCACACATGTAAATTTGAATTTCACATATGTGAATTGCGAATTCACATAATTTCATTTTCACGTACAACAGCAGCATGGACATTCATTTATCACATAGTGACAAAATTGAATGCATATCTTTTTTATGCTATGACCCTTCACATAATGAAATATCAGGTGAGACTCAACAGTGTATTTTCAATTGTTTTAAAATAGAAAAAGCTGGTTATAGCACAAGTGATTAAAAACTACTTGTAAAACAATGATGTTTTGCTTGAATATATTTTTCGTTAGATAAAAGGCTTGGACAAAAAGATCAAGAGAGATCATTGATATTGAAGGATTTCAATATGTACCAAATTTTTTCAATTTTATAAACATAATTTTATACAAAAAATAAAAAAAATATTTATTAATCTTGAAAGGTAATCCCCAAAGAAAATCAAAACTAGATCATAAACTAATATATAGACAGGTAAAGAAATAACATTTATAGCTATTATGCATGCATACCTAGAATTAAGCAATATCAAGGATGCCATTTTTTGAATTAATATATAGCATGTTGTCCTGATATATTAATAGTTCAAATTATAATAAGTTACTATATATATAAATATTTTCTTCAATAAAAATCTTAGTTCATTATTATATGGGGTATGCTGTAACAAAACCAAACAAAGTGAACATTGGTATAACCAAGAATTTCAGGGATCAA